CATTGTCCGCGTGGTAATCAAATTACAATTGACTTAAAAAGTGAACGTTTTCACTACACAAACAGTAATTGTACAATTCATCAATTTAGCCAAACAGTTAAAGGCAAACAACTCTTCACAACTTTAATTTTAACTAACAAATAACACACGCATGCACACTAATATTTGAACGAACACATTTGAGATTTTTCCTTGCAGAAACCAAATTATTTTAATTTCACTAACAAATCAAAACCATTAACTTTATTGACCAAATTTCTGCATGAACATTCTTCATAATATTGTCTCAATTGCCACAATCAACAAACATTCTGTTATCCTTGCATATATATCTATTGTATATATAAAAATCTCTTTATTGTTTGATCTCTAACTACTGTGTTTTTAGTAATTTCTTACTATACAAATTGTACTTCTATTCTTTATTTGATCTACGTGTTGTGGGATAATGCATAATAAGCACGCATAATCTTTGCCTTACATAAATTACCTTCTGATACATTTTCACTCAGCCATAGCTCGCAAGACTATCAACAACTCTTTTATTATGTGATAACACCAGTCAACAAACAAGTGATAATAGTTGATATGTACTTGTTGTGGAAAGTTTGGTGGTTACTATTTATTTAATGGTATTGACAGCCCAAATCAATCCATACAATTTTTAACTCTACGAATATGTTAAGCAAAATGCAAAAAACAGCAAAAGAAAGTGAATGAAGTTGAAAGTGTTCTGTGATCCACTTTTTGCACAGATTTGACCAAAGCTATTGGAATAATATAGAATTTGGGTTCAACAAACTCATACAACAATAATCTGTTATTCACGTCTCGCGTACAAATAAAAAGAACAATTAATCCAGCTGTTTGGTAAATGTAACAAACTTGTTCATAAGAAAAGTTTATATTTTTTGATCTTGGAATTGCAAACTTTTCTTGTCGGGAAAGACACCACAAAATGAAATGTGGGATGGCTTAATAATATCCTGGTGTCAAAAAAAAAAAAAAATTACATTTAAAATTTGAATATCTGATCAACTACATGACTCAGACAAAAGAAATTAAATACGCTTCATGCTGAACAATAAAAGTTTTATTTATTAAAATTCAAACAAGATATTCAAAGTGATGTAGATTTTATAACCTTTTCACAAAACTTCACAAATGCACAGTATTTACATTAGTCGGACTATTGTCCTCATCTTTGTCGCCATATTTGTCACAACGTTTCGGCCGTTGTACGCTCCGGCCTTCTTCAGGTGGTTGGAATTTCGAACTGAACCCTTTATTTCGATCGCTGGGGTAGACTGTTCTAATTCCACGTGCCATGTTTGACAAATTCACAAATGCACAATATGCGCTCCACCTGTGACACGACACACATCAAACTGGTAGTCCAACTCCTGCCAAACACGCTGTAGCATATCTTGCGTAACAATCTCCATCGCCTCTGTGATTCTCTGCTTAAGTTTCTCTAGGTTTATAAAAAGAGTGAGATATAGACCTATCCTTTCACATATCAACATAGAAAAAAAAATCACAAGGTGTCAAGCCAGGTAAACGTCGTGGCCATTTTCAACAGCACGTTGTCATTATTACTGGTACGCCTGATCCATCTTTCTGGTAAATTCTCAATTAGATAGATCCATACTGTGAACTTAGTTTTTACACATTTTGTTAACATTTGAGCGAGAATTAGTCATGTTATTAGTCTACATAATGATGTCATTATTTTGGGACACTCTGTATTTCTTCAGTATCTGTCTATATTTCTGAGATGATCTATTATGTACACTATTTACATTATTCGGACTATATATACTTACCAGAGGACTGAAACAATTGAAATTTGTACCCATTATTAATGGAAAACTCGGAACAGTGCCGAAAGTTAATTTAATAATTGCAATTCTTTGGAATATGGCTATATAAGTAATTTCAGTAAAAAAAAAAAAAAAAAAAAAAAATACCAAAGAGATTTTATTGCGTTATTAAGGAGAATTGTTGTCATTTAATTTTATGCAAAAGCCATCAGTTAAAGTTGAAAATGATTCTAAATAATAACAAATAATAAAAGGAAATATTTGTGAAAATTTTAGAGTTTTCCTATCTGAATTTCCTGAGATATGACGATGAACTACATCTGGCAGCAAGGTCTCTGATCAGGAGGTTTTGAGGAGCGTGGAATCACCTGTTAATTACTCTTGTTCCTAGTCCACCCCAACCTGGAGTGGTAGCGCCTGTTAGGGTCCCTGCAAACGATAAATAGTGAACTCACAAATTGGTGTTAAAACACTATGAAAGTGTAGAAGTATATTCATAGTGAAGGTGCATTTTCACAGTAAAAAAAAATCAAAATAATCAGCAGTACGTTTTTATATTAAAAAAATATTACCAGCAATACATTTTTACAAGAAAAATATATAGTACCAGTAATATGTTTTCAGAAAATAAATTACTAATGCTCCCAAAGGAAATTAAATTCCGGCATTAAATGGCCCATAAGAAGTTGATATGCCATAAAACAAACAAGCAAACATGAATTTTCTGATGAGTATTAATTAAGTTAATGATTGAATAATCTTCTTGGGTGTTCCACGTTTATAAAATCCCTATTCCCCCGATTGCCTCGTTAAATATTTCAGCTTATTAGTTTGAACAAAATGTGAATGCAGCTCATTATTTGAAGAACTAAGTGGCTACTAAGTGGGTACAAATAAAAAGATTCAACATTGAAAATGTTTTTCACTTCACTGAAGTAGACATTAAACGCATGGGAGTGTTATCATTTCTGCTATCTTTGTTTCTTTCTTCCTTTCCTTTGCTTTTCTTTCCCTAAAATTAAACAGGGCCTTTGATATATCTTTTTCTTCCGTCTCTCTTTGCAATCAAACAGAAATGGCACATTGTTTATATGAAATAATAGCGCGAAGGAACAACAACAACAACAACAACAACAACAATAATAATAATAATAATAAGGACCTTGAAATCGAAATCTCAAAAATATGGCACATGAGAACATCAACAATCCTGTGGTTGGAAAAGGTTTCCATAGACTCATGGAACGGATTCCTGGAAGCCCATGCCTTACAGAAATACAAAAAATTGTTCTCATGAATACAGCCCACACCTTACTAGGGGATTTATCTATGTAAAATATGTTTTTTTTGTTTTTTTTAATTGCTCAGTAGAAAATGTCATCAAGGACACATGACACAGTGGATAAAAGCATTGGTTAAATCCAGTGACAGGACCCAAAGATTGTGAGTTCAATACCCGGTTAAGGCAGTGGAAAACTTGCAGAGGGGAATTAACAGGAGATAACTGATAACTGACATCCATTGAACATGGCCCGTGGAACTAGAACAGTCTACTCCAGTGAGCGAAATAAAGGGTTCACTTCGACATTCCAACTACCTGAAGAAGGCCGGAATGTACAACGGCCAAACGTTGTAATAAATATGGCGACAAAGATGAGGACAATAGTCCGAATAATGTAAATAATATAGAAAATGTCATGATGCTAACTCTGACCTTAGGTCTTTGGGCGGGACCCGGAAAGAAATGACTACACACCAAAAATCAAAGGAAATAATAATAATAATAATAATAATAATAATAATAATAATAATAATCACTGAGACATAGTATGAGCAGCACCCAGACACAGTTACCTAAAATAACGATGTAACTATCCTCTGGGACATACCAATTCAAACTGAGAGGGAAATAAAAGCCAATTGATCTGGTATTATCATAAAAGACAAGAAATTCAGGAAGTGTAGTCTTTTTGACATAGCAGTACGATCTGAGAGAAATGCCGCCATGAAAATTATCGAGAATTTGCCAAATACAAGGACCTGGAGATCGAGATGAACAGGATGTGGGGAATGAAGAGTGAGGCTGTACCAATAGTAATCAGAGCTCTGGGCCTCGTGAGAAAAGAAATGGACAATTTTCCTAACAGTGTCCCAGGTAACTTTAACATAAAAGTTGCTCAGAAAATCGTCTTACCAGGAACATCCCATATACTATCAATTAAATAACAATTCTCCTATAGGGTCTAAGGACCATAGTTTGAACCCGGTGGAGCAATGGCGGCTGGGATTGAGGAATTACGTGCTAATACTCCTGAGAAAGACAAGAATCCTCTTCTCCCCCAGCTATGGGTAAATAGCAGGTCAGATTAGGTTGCCTTGGATGGCAACTGGTCTATGGCAGAAAGAAATGGCAACCTACTGCGGGAAAAAATCTGCCTCTTCAGTCATGTATCGAAAGATACATGATCGCCTAAGTGTGTCTCACGCATGACACATAACTGACTGATGCCACCCGAATTGCATCTGGCGTGATAGTTATCAGTTTGAGCCAAGTTCAAATTTCAACCGAGGCGGTTTGATATCGCACGATTATCTTCGGGAATCTATCTGTTTTTTTCTAAACTATGTGTAAGATAGGTGAGTAAACTGGATGCTTCACCCTTGAAGCATCCAGTTGACCAAATTAGGAGAAGGTTTACTCAACAACATCTTGGCGAGGAACGCTCTTTGTTGAATATCTTGCTTAAATACACCCAGTTATGTTGCAGTTCGTTCGGTGTCCTAAACAGTATACACAATACAAAAAATAAAATAAAATAAAAAGAAGCAAAAAATGAAAAAAAAAAAAAAATAACCCAAAAACGTGACTTCAAACCGTGATAATCGACAGTAGACACCGTGCCAATTTCTAGTACCGTGTTATTAAGGGCTGAAAAAAAAAAAGAAAAAAAGAAAAGAAATCTTGTTTTTCCCACACAATTTATAATGTCATTCCGCCGCCTGTGATAAAAACGTCTCTCATTTATCTTAGATTCACATTATGGTTCTGAATATCATTTTGTTTTTAAAAAGAATTATTTTTTTTAATCTCTTTTCTTTGATACTTTGCTCTTTTCTAATGCAAAATAGAACCCCCCTCTCTCCCACTAATTTTTTGTGACGTTTTGTTTTATCATTATGTTGCGTCCAACAGCGATTGTTCTTTCATGTTCAAATCACCAGACGCCATTTTCTTTTGGCGTTCTCGAACACGCCCAGGCGGGCAACGTTTTATTTCGTACGATTACCAATCTTCTTTTCCATTTTATTCTTTTGCTTCTTCTTCGTGTTCCACTCCTTCGTTTTTCAATTTAAAATAGTTTAGATATAGACTTGTGTTACATCTCCTTCATCTGTCGCCTATCTTTCCTCTTTTTTATAGTGAAATTCTGCGTAATAAAAAAAAAGTAGTAATATTTACTCATAACTAACCCACCCATATATATATATATATATATATATATATATATATATATATATGAAGAAATATTATGTCATTGACAGTATTGTTTCGCTGTATCACAGCTCCTCAGTGCGACTAGACATCCGAATACTTCAATCCCGGATCAAAACCCAACCGATCAGCCAGAGTTTCTACCATTCAGCTATCTTCATTCGATAGAGAGAAACAACTAAATCTAGCGTGTTGTTTTTACTAATGTAAACAAATGCCAATCAGCCGGAGCGCTCCAATTCATTTTACTGAAGAGCTTTGCATTAACACTGGCGGCTGTTTTTTTTATAGAGCTAATCACTCAACAGTGCTCAAATGAAATATATTTTCAAGAGCAAAGAAATATAGTCTTAAGGTGTGCTATATTTAAGGGATAAAGTGCTCAATATCAGAGATAGAGCGTGTGTAAATATAAAAGTGAACATTGAAGTCAACGCTTAGAGGCGACAGGCTGTTTCATGCTAGACGTAATCGATTGCGTCTACCATGAAACAGACTGTCGCCTTTAAGTGTTATCTTCTATGTTCACTTATATATATATATGTAAAATTTAATTTAATTTAAAATAAAACAGACAACTTTAAGGCTCCATTTGTAATAATTTATTTCATCGGAGAATTTTATTTTTCTCTGGATCTTCAGACTTCACTTTCAAAAGATTAAACGAAAAATGAATTTACACTTTTGACCGGCAATATTAAGCTTATATAAGTTGACATAGAGGGTGGTGAGGAATTAACTTTACATAAATATATATATATATATATATATATATATATATATATATATATATATATATATTATAGATAGATAGATAGATAGATAGATAGATAGATAGATAAATAAATAGATAGATAGAAAACATGCGTGTGTTAATAAACTACTACTCGACTGCGTGTGTTAATAAACTACTACTCGATGTAATATCACAGAGCTATTAAGTGTATATTGATAAATACACATATTATTCCTCATCCGTAGCACGATTCAGAGTTTCATACACAACGCAGTCTTCAGGTGCTGAGTAGAGACTGACCGTTGCATTATTTAAATTTTAATAAAAAATATCTGGTTATCGTATATATATCGGAATATATATCGCTGATAAAATAATTGGCAAATATTATGTCTGCTTATTTTTAGTATAATCCGTTCATATTCACGGATATTTTTCCGTGTATTACAATCAAATGACGCCAGAAATATACTGTAACAGTGAGAATCACTTTTATTTCCCAAGTACTTTCTATCTCCGAAAAGGGGTTGCAAGTAGTGGGTAGCGGCTCGGACAGAGGGCTTCGAATCCATTACATACCCTTATTTTGAATCCTCCTATATATCCGTCTATATTTTTGAGTTATTATGTAGATTATGTCATATATATATATATATATATATATATATATATATATATATATATATATATATATGTACATATATATATATAAAAGTGAACATTGGAGTCAACATCCAGAGGCGACAGGCTGTATCATGCTAGGTGCAATCGTGAATTATCTGTTTTTATGAAACGCAGACTTCAGGTGATATAAAATAACTATTATTATTCAATGATGAATAATATGTCATTTGTTTATATCTATCGATCTATGTATGTTTGTACGTATTTATATATCTATCTGTCTATCTCTGTTCATATCTAACTATCTATCTATGTCAGTCTGTTTATATATATCTATCGATCTATGTAAGTATGTACGTATCTATATATCTATCAATCTCAGTTTGTTCATATCTATCTATCTATCTATCTATCTATCTATCTATCTATCTATCTATCTGTTTATGACCGTTCAATATTTATATACAAAATGGCAGTAACAGTAGGTAATTCAACATGTATTTGAAAAGAGTGCTAAACCGTTGTGTAATATCAATCCGCCTATATGGCATTGGATGCCGGAGAATCTGGTCGCAGATAAATTCCATAGAAGGAAAATTTAAGTTATAACCAAATCTTCAGAAATATTCAGTTGATAGAAAAATGCAGTAGTAATAACAACTAATTCTAATATGAGCACTGGTAAAAATGGTTGTTGAGTTTATTAGTCCCAGTGGCCGAAATAAAGAGTTCTGTTCGAAATTCGAATCATCTGAAGAAGGCCGGAGGCGTGCAACGGCTGAAACCGTGTGAATATGGGAATGGACATGAGGATAACAGTCTGAATAATTTAAATAATGCAAGAAATTATAATAACTCATCTCAGAGATATAGACTGATATAAAGTGTTCAGTTTGAAATGCAAATCACCTGAAGAAGGCTAGAGCGTACAACGTCCGAAACGTTGTGAATATGACAATGAAGATGAGGATAACAATCCGAATAATGTAAATAATACAAACGACAATTGATCCATGTTATTAGCAAAAGGAAATCTATGTGTAAATAAATCAAAGGAAAAGACAATTAAACTATAACAATGTGATTGTGTATGCGTGAAACAAGTGTGAATGATACACGTATGTGGATGTCTTTGTGTGCGAGAGTTCAGTAGTCAGTGAACAAAGAGAGCGAACGCGCCCTGGGGCACCATTATTTATCTACGTTCAACCACATCTATATATAAGACTAAAAAAGAGAAAGAGAAGGAAATATTTACCTTTTCATAGACTTAAATTGGCGTTTTTGGCAAAGCCAAGTGGAGTAATCCAAAAAGTTTAAAAGCATTTTTTATCCAATATGCTACTACAATAGAAGTTTTTCTATACGATGTTCGCTTTTTACTATGACGAGGTTATTGCTATCAGTTTGTTTTATTTCTGAAAAATTAGAGCTAATAAATTCTGAATTTCAGTATTTGCAATTGCTGGAGGTATTTTAGTGAATAAGCTAATTTTGGCTGCCAGTGTGAAGTTCAATTCAAAATTTAGTGGAGGTGCGCTTTTCAAATGGAGTCAAATTTACAACCCTTCTATGCGAATGATGCAACAAATTGTAGGTTCCCCTTCAAAAATCTGAATGGACCGAACGTAGCAGATGATCTCTTCACTGATCGAGCCTAGATGGATCAATAGGAGAAAATTCAATGCATCTAAATCCAAACGAGTAAAATTCAACCCCCACCGAGCAGACCCCAAATTTTTACCGATCATGATGGCTAGGTTTTCTTTCAATGAAGCTCCTTACCTTAAACTCCTATTCGGACTCAATCTCACGCCAAGCCTCAAGTAGAACTCACATATACGATCCATTGCTAAAGATTCTGGTAAAATGGTTGGTTTATATTGCCGCTTCAATAAGTATCTGACACCTGCTATACATTATCATTACAAGAGCCAGATTAGACCAAAAATGCAGTATTGCTGCCATACCTCTGTTGCATCTGTCCAGTTCTCACTCACCTGTTTTGATAGACTTATTAAGCGTCTACACGGCCTTATAGGTGATGGATTTTCTCACATGTTACAATCTCTTTCCCATAGACAAATCATCACAAACCTCTCGTTTCTCTCTCGATATTTTCATGGCATGTGTTTTGACGAGCAATGTTTCTTGGTTCCATCAGGCCTGATTTTTGCAACTGGGACCCGCCATGTCATGTATACAGGAATAAATTATTGCCATTCTCTTCGTATTCCTTTAGTAAGAAAGAATTTCCATTCGGACACCTTCTTTCCAAGAACTGCTGCTTTGCGGAATAGACTCCCGGCAGGAGGTTTTCCCGATTAGTAAATACTGAATTCTTCAAGTCTAGGGTTAAAGGTTATCTTTCCTACATTTAAATCATAATCAGCACTTCTTATGTCTTCCTGTTATGCTCATACAACAACCTCATTCGTACTCCCGAGAGGATGCTTTCCTGATGGCTACAATCTTAACCTCTTCAAGTCTAGGGTTAACCGTTATGTTTCGCACATATCCTCATGATCAGCACTTCTTACTTCTTCCTCTTATGCTCATACAACAACCTCATTCGTACTCCCGAGAGGATGCTTTCCTGATGGCTACAATCTTAACATTTTCAAATCTAGGGTTAAACATTATTTTTCCTTCATATCCTCATGAACTACAATTCTAGCCTTTTATTACGCTCATAAAACACCACTCAATTTTCCTCTACTTTGAGTGGCTCTTTGGCATTCTGTTGAGTGAACAGGACAGATGGTTACTGAATGTGCTGCGTGATATGAATAAATGAAAATTATAAGAATAAGGAGGATAGATTGTTCCTTGATTCAATTTAAGCTCACCAAGAATGATGGGTACCGTCTTGTGGATCAATTTACAAACATTTTTTTTTCATTTCCCTTAGAAGGTTCAAATAGTGTATCAGCCTTTTACACGGCTCCACTTTCTCTTCTGGGAGAATTGGTAATCCGTGTTTTCGTCGAAAACCATCCTGACAACAACAAAGCAAACATCTGCAAGAGAATGTTGGAGCAATGATCAGGCTTGCTGTCACTTGATCTGTAGGTTAAGTCACCAGTTCCTGGACGTGGAAACTCAACGAGAACAAATAACAGCAACTGAGGTGAGCGCTGTGGTTTTTGAGCTTGTTGTCACTTGACCTTCAGCAAGGACATAATCATATGATGTTACGAAAATAACTGCATATATGGTCGCTTTTGACTTTCATTTAAAAAAAAAAAAAATTAAGCTTTTATTATACCGTCGGCATTAAGTAATTATTTTTCTGCTCTACCTTAAATTCTTTTATCTTAGAAATTCAAAGATATTTCTTAACTGTTCGCCCGACATCTTTTATCTTAGAATTAAAATTAACGAACACATTTAAAAGAAGGCGTTTTATTGCTTTCTTCTTGCCTTAATAAAAGAGAAGACTTATTATTATCACATAACATTTTACATATGTGAATAATATACAATCTATCTATCTATCTATCTATCTATCTATCTATCTATCTATCTATCTATCTAAGTCTGTTCATATCTAAGTCTGTTCATATCTATCTATCTATCTATCTATCTATCTATCTATCTATCTATCCCAGTCTGTTCATATCTATCTATCTATCTATCTATCTATCTATCTATCTATAATTATAAAAAAGGTATTGTTCAAAGGTGAATTAGAACAGGAAACAGTAGTATAAAAAGTACTCAATACACGTATAAATAAAATAAAATACAAATAAAAATTTAGCATGCAGAGCTTTTGAATTAAGAAAAAAAAAGGTGAGAGATGAGCCAATCACGCTACCTTGGTTTCAACCTTTCTGTATCTTCATGAAATTCGGTCTAAATAATTTCTTAACGATTTATCAGTTGAAAATAAACGCACAACCTGAAGCGTAATATAATGGTAGGAGAAAAAGCGTATTGAAATTGTATATGAGTCGGGGTTACATGAAATGTACATACTTTCATCCTGGTTCATACGAACTCAAAAGGAATTTTTTACTGTGTATGCATCGTGTCCTTATTTCTGATCTCTAATTCAAAAGTTTATATATTAGAAAATCCGACATATTTTTAATTTATTTGTTTAAAAGTTTTTTTTTATTGGATACTCATATTTGAGTCGATGTTCTGTTTTTATTTATTTATTAAACAGTATATTTATTTATTTATTTACATCTGAATATTCAAGAAATCTTGTTAGAAAAATATGCACCCTCCGTTACTTTTCTCAAATTTGAGTAGCCATTAAAAATAACGTTTAAACAAATAAATTATACCTACTTGACGCCGCTGGCGAGTATTGTATTTTGTTGATGTTAGCAAGCAGTTGTATACATCTGACAGTTTAGATATTTGTGAATGTGCCATCCAGAAGACTATTTAAAAAACATATAATTACGTGTGCATAAATAGCATTTTATATATTATACTCTCTTTTTCCTTCACTCTCTCTCCCCCTCTCTCTCTTTATATATGTAAAATATATATATATATATATAGCATTTGGAGATCAGCCCATCACGTTATCTTGGTTTCAACTATAATAAACGCACAACGCGAAGCCTAACAGAAGGGAAGGAGAAAAGCAAGGGTATTGAAATTGTATCGGAGTGGAGGTTATATGAAATGTACATACTTTCATCCTGGTTCATACGAATTCAAAATGAATTTTTTTGTGTGTATGCATCGTGTCATTATTTCTGATCTCTCATTTCGAAGGTTTTTCTGGCCTGGAAAGTTATTCTGGAAAATATTATTCTATATATATATATATATATATATATATATATATATATATATATATATATATATATATAATTAAAAAATCAGAGATAGAGCTTATATATATATAAAAACTTTTTTATTGTTTGTTAATCTTTAGTGTAATAAAAAAATGTTTAATCGCCTATGTTGATATTTTTTTGTAGACGTTCTTTTGAAAGGGAATTTATTTTAAGAAAGCCAGGCGGTCTGTGAAAAAAAATTGTTACGCATGTCAATATTTTAGTCTCAACGGTTAAAAAAAGAAACATTTTTTTCATATTTACTGGCCAATGTGACACGTGGTCTCAAACCCTTGTAAAAACCTGGGTGGAGTCTTCTGTGATCATCTTTTTTTTTTATTATTAAAAGATCTACGGTTAGCAGATAACGGGAGAAGACATTTTGATATGAAGTAGAAAGCATTGTACACAGCAAGGCATTCACACGAGAAGGCAAAGAGTTACATTCCAGCTGCAAAAAACCGAATGAATTTTGACGTTAAAAAATGAACATTTTCCTGCAGTTGGACCACAAACAACGAAAAAAGAACTCAAAAGAAATTTTCCCCAAAAGCCCCAGTGAAACAGGGACCGTGTGAATATAAATAAAGATCTTTCAAAAATTGCTATATGTTCCAGAGACGCTCGTGGGATAAAATTGTTATTTTTTTTTTTTTTTTACTTTAATTCAAAAGGTGATATCACCTTTCTTTTCTTGCCTTCCTTAATGTTGTGGATTCCGGGATGAAATCCGGTCTCAAAATGAATGAGAAACGCAGGAATGAAATATAGCAAATAAATGTATTGACGTAATAATACAATTGGTAATACGGTTAGTAGATCCAGAAATGCGGTTAGTAGCAATAATAATATATATATATAGTCTGGGAAATTCAGTATCGAAGTTTAACTTCCTTCTGAATCTACGTGCTCGCAATTGTGACTCCTACAAAGCGGTTACCTCACACACTCACTCTATCACTGTATCACTTCCGGTTATTCTCCGGCAGCAGTACAAGTACACACTGGGCGAGTCCACTTGTATAAGAAGGGGTGGATCCCTTAACACTTAATGTGTTTTTTTTCTTTTTGTCATTTTCAAAATTGTAATCTTTGTTTTTCATTTTCGATAGTAATCCATTTTTTTACATATCAGAAATTGTTATCCTGCTTAATAGGGGCGCGAAACGAAATTTTTTGTGAAAATTTTGTATTTGTACTTTTTTGTCTGTCCTGTAATAATGATTCTTTGTTTCGGTTTTATGCAGCGCTTGTGTCTTGATATGTGCGTCTATTTTTATGTTAGGAATAAGAAAGGACACGCGTTCTCTTTTCCCTTTCTATTCCTACAAATAGATTTTTGTGTTTGGCACAAGAACTCCGTCTGGAATCGAATCCGTAAACTTGATGCTAACCATCGTTTGATCTGACGCTCTGTTAACTATTCAACCACAAAGAATCATCTTGTTAGTAAAGCCCGAATTACTGTTTATAAACACACACGTTCGCCAATTTTTCTCATTTTTCGGTAAATGTAATTAATAGTGATTAATTAAAAAAAACAGAGCATTTACTTAATTATATATATATATATATATATATATATATATATATATATATGTGAGTAAAAGTGTTATGTCCAGGTTAGGACCAAGGAAGAACAACATGAACACAAGAGTGAAAATAACGAAGGTATATTACAGGAAATAATAATACAAGATATGGAAGGTGTTAGTATGACTGCTAGTCTGCTTTGGAGTGAACTACTATCGGCTCGACTCGATTCGACCCTCTCTCTTGAGTGGCGTACTATACATAGTGTTAGGAAGAGTTCATTCTGTAGTTATAAGTACGGACCCATGACAAAAAGTGAACATTGAAGTCAACACTCAGAGGCGACACCCTGTTTCATGCTGAACGCAATCGTCAGTGGACTTCAATGTTCATTTTCATATATATATATATTTACGTACGCTTAATCTCTCATATTGAACACTTTATCCCATAAATATAGCACACTTTAAAACTATATATCTTCATATATATATATATATATATATATATATATATATATATATATATATATATATATATATATATATATATATATATATATATATATATATATATATATATATATATATATATATATATATATATATATATATATATATATATAATACACGGTAAAATCACTTAACATAACTACACACTACTTTTGGTTACCTTTTTCGCCTATTAAAATAGATAAATGTGATTAATTTCTATTAAATCAATTTTTTTTCTGTTTTCTAGCCTATTTAGTTATGCATCTGTGAAAAGTTAATTATATGAAAATATGTTTATTAATTATTTGTATATACAATAAATTCAAAATGTGTATGTGTAAGAAAATTTGTTTCCCCCTACTGTATATATATATATATATATTACTTTACTCATGTCGGAGGATTTTTTCTTATATTCTAGACGATTATTTTTGCCGGAAGTACATGTTCGTACTTCTTTCTTTTTTTAAACCTTTTTTCCCTTGGGTATTGGTTTGTTTATTTACAAGCTAAAACGAGATGAGTATAGCTGCTTATATTTATAAGATTATTAGTATTTTATATATATATATATATATATATATATATATATATATATATATATTTTATATATATATATATATATATTATATATATATATATATATATATATATATTAGTATTATATATATATATATATATATATATATATATATATATATATATATATATATATATATATATATATATATATATATATATATATATATCCTCCCCGTCCTGGGTATGACGATAAACTACATCTGCGTCATGTGTAAGACTATAAACTACGTCCAACAGCAAGGCCTCTGTTCAAGAGGTTTTGAGGAGCGTGGAACCACCTCTTAATTGCTGCTGTTCCCAGGTTCATCCTGACCCGTGTGGTAGCACCTGTTATGGTCCCAGCTAGGGGAAAATAGTTGACGCCTAAAATGAGGTGAAAAGCTTTATAAAAGTGTAAAAATAGGTTTTAATACCAGAAATATTTGTATAAAATTATCACTAGAAATGAATCTTTGAAGAAAAAAACAATTATCAGCAATATATTTTCGAAAAATAAATATTACCAGCAATACATTTTTTAAATTATATTACCAGGTATAAATTTTTTGTGGAAAAAAGTATTACCAGAAATAGATTTTTAACAAAACAAAATACTTCCAGGAAAGGTGAATATGCCGTAAGACAAAACAAACCAAACCAAACATTATTACCCGCAATACATATTTGAACCAACACTAAAAATCTTGTCGGCATTAAATAACCCATTGAGGTAGATATACTGTAAAACATAAACAAACAAACAAATATATATCCTCAAAATTAATTACTTATGTAATAAAATTTAACATCATTCATTAGGAGGATCACAATATTTTCAGACACTCCTTCTATACACCTTCATAATGTGGCTGATCATGTCTCTCTACAACTTCTTGTACTTTCTGCTTGTTAGGTAGGTTATTTCCTCTGTCCCTCTTGACTTCAGTCTGTATTGTCAGTATCAATTTCTTCAAGCTTTGTTTCCTAATTATTTGTTTCTCACGAAATTTTCCTGTTTCGTAATATATTGCTTAGCTTTTGAAAGGCAACTTTTACTTTTTCAATGCACCTTCAGATTACGGTGTCGAACTTTCTGTCATCTGTTAAAACACTTCCGAGATATTTAAAGTTTTGTACTTGCCTGATCTTGATGTCTCACATTTCTAGTTCGCATTTTCAGCTTTTCATTTTGCTGATAGCCATAAATTCTGTCTTCTTGCAATTTGTTTAGTCCTTTCTTCTTGCTTTCCTTCACTGACTTCTGTAGGAGTTCGTGTAAGTTCCTTTCTGTGTCTGCTATCGACACTCTGTCATCTGCGTATCTGATACTGTTAAGTTGCCAATAATAAAACCTTGTAGGACTTGTAATTCTTTCAGCATAGCCTTGCTTTAAAGGTTGCATAGGTCCGGTGAGACGACACACCCTTGTCTTAAGTACCCTTTCTATTTTTATATATGTGCTGAATTCATTTTCTATCCACATGCAGGTATAAGTTCTTCTTATATCCTTCCCTAATATATCCAGCAAACTCGCATCAGACCTCAAGTGAAATTCTTACATATGATCCATTGTTAAGGATGCAGGTAACTCTATCACTGATATTGAGTGCTTTCCAATAAGTACCGTGCATATATAATATTTAAATAATATATATATAAAATTGCATATATATATATATATACACACACACACATATATATATATATATATATATATATATATATATATATATATATATAGATACACACACACACACACACACACACACACACATATATATATATATATATATATATATATATATATATATATATATATATATATAAACATGGCTGGCCCTGCTCTTTGCTGCTTTGTTTCTTCGTTTACTTCTGCCCCACGTTGTGTTCCTCGATCACATGGCAGTGAAGATCGAGTTTCATCCATACTCGAGTGCTAGGTCGAACCGCGGCGAAATCGTGCTACAAAAGGACAAAGAACGTTTCCACTGGCGTAAATAAAAATAGTATAACAAAATAATGACGGTCACCCGCTTAATTTTCAATTGGTTTATATAATTCTTGATACAAAAAAAAATTAGCCCTTCGCGTTAAAATTCCTATCTTGATACTCTGTCTTTTTCTAAAATTTGGAGCGGGTTAAAAACATGTCGGGAATTATATCGGCAGCAAGTCACATGCCTTCTTACTGCTTTCCACCCAGCTTCTGTGGCTTTTTCTGTCTTCTGCTGGCTTCCAGATTCTTCTCTTTAAGTCACTTAAGCATCCGTTTGTATGTATTTTGCCGGACTCCTACCGCACTTCAATATTCATTAATATTCATATCAATTCATTAATTATCGCTCCAATTTTGGAGAACTGATACTGACCTTCAAACAAAGAGGCTCGCAGTCGTTTACTTATTCAAAACAATAAATTCTTCGAGAATAAACTTGTGTTTATAAATTCTTTACTATGTCCTTAGCGTCAATTGCCCACATTCCAAATGACAAAACATCCTTTTGTTTGATAAGATCTGGGTCACCATGCCTTGACACCAAAGACTTTTCTTTGTTGTTGACTTTTCAATATGATCGATTAAAAACCTTGCCCACTTTGCATGATTACAAAACCGTATTTCTGATTATTTTATCGGCTTGCAAATCATAATTCCATTTGTTTTTCAGGTGGTTTACAGTTTAGATTTCTTAAATCATATTTTGGACCAAGCATTCTATTCAGCTTTTGTGGTTATCAGAAAGAAAAAAAAACTCTCTCTTTTTTTTCCTTGTTCCATATTTCATTTCATGTTTTCACCTTAGCGTTTTTAACCCTTCCAATTCTCCAGATCCTATACAGGTTTTTTTTCACATGAACCCTTTTAATATTTTCATACTAATAGTGTCTCATTAATCCATTCAACTACATCCAGTGACACTTTACAGTGTAACAACCCCCCCATATATATATATATATATATATATATATATATATATATATATATATATATATTAAGCGTTTCACCCCAAGCAAGGTGGGAATCCACTAGTACGCAAGGGGTTACAGAGACTTGGAGCGAGAGCAAATAGGAATGAAAGGATGAAGTGAAGTATAGATCAAGGCATCTGGAGACGTCGATTGAAATTACATTTGAATAGTTGGAGATAATAGTTATCAGGAAAACAGGAAAATGGGAGTGAGTTCCACAGGCGAGAAGTGCGAGACATGAAGCTATTGGAGTAGAAGAGACGGCTACATTTAACAGTTTTACAGCGAAAGAGTGAGAGCGAGATGCCAGCCTAGTTGAACGCTTAAATTCATGAAGCTGAGAACCAGCGAAAATCATCCATCGGAGCAGTTACCGTGAAAGCATTTGTAAAAAAAAAAGACAGAAGGAGGCGACGGCATATATATATATATATATATATATATATATATATATATATATATATATTTAATGGCCATTATTTTCAAATTATCTTGGTAAATATGTTATAAAATCACTACAATAATTCACCACCATTATAATTTCAACATTTCTGGTGTCTTATCAAGTGATGGTGTTTTAATGTAGAATAAAGGGTTTTGTATTGAAAACCTTTTATTCTACATTCAACACTACAACCTCAGAATAAATTATGAAACATAATGAATAAATTTTTGTTGTATTGATTTTTTATATCATATTTATGTTATAACTTTTTAACTTTCGAATAAATTATGTGTTTGCTCTTTTAACTCTTATGTTGCTCTACTCTGTATTGAGCACTCTTTTTTCGAATATAGTATTATTTGGTTGTTTTTAGAATTTATTCGGTATACACAATCCTATACATGGATATATATATATATATATATATATATATATATATATATATATATATATATATATAAATGTGTGTGTGTGTGTGTGTGTGTGTGTGTGTGTGTGTGTGTGTGTGTGTGTGTGAAGCTATAAATATATATATATGTAACAATAGTGTCTCATTAACCCTTTCGAATATAAGTGACACTTTATAGTGTAACAAACACACAAATATATATATATATATATATATATATATATATATATATATATATATATATATATCAGTGTGTGTGTGTGTGTGTGACTGAGGAAGTATATACTGCGTGGAATTAAAAGTGTTTGTCAAAATAAATCTGATCTATGGTGAAAAAAATTGCAAAGTATATTGATGGCACTTCAAAGTGAAAAAAGAATTGACATGTCTGATCAGACTACACGGGCAACACGATTTTCACAGACAGCGGGAGAAGCGTAAGACGGAAGGGAACACAGAGTGAGATAGATAGATAGATAGATAGAGAGATAGAGAGAGAGAGAGAGAGAGAGAGAGAGAGAGAGAGAGAGAGAAATTGGTACACGCATCATGGGTGTTCACTACTTAGCTAAACAGTGTAAATCTCAGTGTTTGTCTCAGGGCAGATTAACTGCGTGTTTATTTACGAAAGCTGACTGATATTCAGCGATATTTTCATATCTATCTATCTATCTATCTATCTATCTATCTCTATCTATCTATCTTCTCAGTCTGTTCGTTTCAATCTATTTACCTCAGTCTGCTCGTATCTATCTATATATCTCAGTCTGTTCGTATCTATCTATCTATCTATCTATCTATCTATCTATCTATCTATCTATCTCATTCTGCTAAAGCGCACTCAGCTACCTTCTATAATTCCCTGTCGCAGCCCTATGCATCCAAGGACTTGACAAAGTGTTGCCTTTTGCATTGAAATATATCATTTATTCGGCCTCGTTACGTATAATCCCCCCAAATGGACACAAGGGCCGTGCCACAATTGTCCTCATTTCTATCCAACCGTCGCCATGAAGGGAAAAAAAAAATAATCTTACAAAGTACGCAGTCTCGTAACGGTCAGTAATTAAGAATAACCGAACGAACAATCAATTGTACGAATTCTCTTTTGGTCAACAGCTCCTCTCCATCATGTGGTTATTACCTGTTGATTACAGGTGATAAAGGCGCCGTTGTGACAGCGTTCTGTTTTCTGATATACGTTTTCAAATCTGCCCTATTTTTTTTTTTTATCCTTTATTTTTCTCTCGCTTTCCGTTCAGTGAATATTTCATACTTCTTTCCGCGATGTCGTGTACAGATTGGTTCTATCTTTAAATGTTATAATAGTTTGTTTTTTTTCTTTGTTTTTAATTTATATCTTGTTATGACTGGAATTTTAAAAGTTGATACGAAATGACCGATCCGTTTTAACAGTATTTTATTTTATTCGTTTTTCAACCACACTCGTCTGCTGGGGCTGCAAGCCAATTCTTTTTGCTGACAACTACTTAGGCATATATGTGTTTGTTCAACACCCTCAAAGCTAACCTGTGCATTATAATTCAACTCTGCTAAGCAGAAAATAGTATTACTTTCTGTTAGAGAGCGAAGAACATGGAGTGATCAACAGTACGCTGGAACTGTCATGATGACTTGTGAATTCATACTGGCATCACCATCAACAGTTTTCAAATGGTTGCATCTAAATAATTTCATTTACAATCAGCCACAAATATTTTATCTATAGATTTATATTCATTATCTATCTATCTATCTATCTATCTATCTATCTATCTCAGTCTGTTCGTATCTATCTATTGATTTAAAAAATGACAAATGGAAATTTTTTTAGTTCTTGGCGACGAATTTCATTTTCCGACATTATCAAGACAAGCAATGAAAGCGAAATCTTTTGTAGCCATAGTTACATCAAATCCAAAATTAAAAAAAGTGACGCCCCTGCGTAAGCCTCTTTCTGAATATGGGTAACTTCCTTTTTAGTAAGAGCTTGTTTTCCATGTCGACAATATTCTGGAAAATCTATCTATCTATCTATCTATCTATCTATCTATCTATCTATCTATCTATCTATCTATCTATCTCAGTTTCTTCAAATCTATCTATCTATCTATTGATTTAAAAATGACAATTGGAAAAATTATTAGCTATTGCCGACGAGTTTCATCTTCCGACATTATCAAGACAAGCAATGAAAGCGAAATTCATTTATCCTTTTTCAAGGATGAAATTAAAATATTTCATCCTTGAAAATGGCTAAATGTATAGCCGAAAGCGCTCGGATAAAAAAAACATTCGGACAGTTTTTATATAATTAATCATCTGAAAAGAAAAAAAATGTTATTAGATCGCATGAGAAATTGTATAAAAACTAAATCAAAGCACCTTGTCTGTCGTATTCAATAAAATGTGCAAATATATATATATATATATATATATATATATAAACCAGCAAAATTGTCCAAATAGTGTAAAGGCATGAGATAATTGCCCATCCCACAAAATCTAAAAGAAAAAAAACCTAAGTGGGTTTCTTTTTAACAAGTTTTCAGATAAGACGTTTAGCCATCTTGATGCCATTTGGTGTAAGAATCACTGAAAAACCCTTTGAGTTATTCAGCTAGAAAGAGAACAGGTTAAAATCGTTTCGTGTCAAACCCACTATGCCTTCCCAAATGAGCAATGGTGAGAGGAAAAACACTATCCAGGCCTTCAGTAATGATACAAACATTCATACTCTGGCTACCATCTTGAAAGTCCATTCAAGAACCATCAAGAGAACGTGGAATAACTTAAAAATGGTAAAAATTTAGAGGAAAACTGGATCAGGAAGTCACAACAGGAAGAGGTATCATCATTTCAACTTAGTGCTAAATAAATTTTTATTGTTAAAAGTAGAGTCCAATAGTGTTATAAAAACTTCGGAGAATTCCAGTAAGATATCTTTAATCATTTCTAAGATACAACGGTTCAAACATGTTTCCTTGAAGAATATATAATTATATCTATTTATTTTTATACTGATCCTTTTAAGTTTTCTAATTTGTTTCTTGATGTTAAGATGAAATTCATCAAGGAAAGCGCTGTATTTTTTTTTCGTACCCAAGTACTTTCGAGTTCTTTTTACGATCATCCTCATATATATATATATATATATATATATATATATATATATATATATATATATATATAAAAAAGCATAAACGAATTCCAAAGTTTAACTAAATAATAACGTAAAAGTTGAAATATGTTGAAAATTTACTGTTAATTCATTTCTTTGATTTAATAAGGGATCTTTACTGAATTTGATAATTTCCAGGTTTTACTGTAAGCACAGAAAACAGTTTTCATATTAATATCTACATGCCCTTGCAGTTTTAGAATTTTCCATTTCACCTTAGGAGTCTTATCAACTTTTAAACTCCAAAAATATTTAGAAAGTGATGTATTATTTCTGTAAGTAATATTGGTGAAGGACAAGATATATTGATACCACCCAGTCTTGAAAGAACTCATAGTACTACCAATATGGAATATTTCATCCGCCTTACTTAAAAACTAAATGTTTAAATTGATAAAATTCATCATTTTTTAAACATCTAAATTTCTATCAAGCATTAAAATCTATCTTTTACATAATTAAAACAAAATTACAGCCTTTTCGATTCACTCTCACTTCCCTCTCTCTTTGCCGTAACACTCATTTAGATATATCTGTATTACTGTTGTCTATCTCCACTCGCCTTTCCATTTTTCCTTTTCTTTTCCCCCCCACTACGCTCCACTTCCTATATATCATTTCCGTTAAGTTAACCATCTAAATAGGTGACGATTAGGTCACTCCTCCTACCCCAATATAAAACATGCTTAAGAGAAATATGAAATTAACCCCTCCCTATACTCTACCTTGTCTCGTTAACTACATCTATCACCCTCCCTGTTAAATTACAAAAATTACACTACCCATCAATTTCTAATCCCATTTTTCCTTTCATTTCGTTGTTGGAAGTGTTACCTGATGATCTGGAGTCCTTCAAAAATGATTTTGGTGAAATAAATTATTGTAATGGTACCTTAAAGTGGTCTGTTTTTTCATATATATATATATATATATATATATATATATATATATATATATATATATATATATATATATATATATATATATCAATTCGTGTGTGTGTGTGTGTATATATATATATATATGGTTTTAAGCTATTTTATATTTAAGGAAGGAAATTACTCATTGTCAGTAATAGCGCATATATGAAATGTAAACAGTTATGGCATAGGTATTAACATTGCATTGCAACAGTCTGTTTCATGTTTAAATGCAATCGCCAGTCCATTAGCATGGAACAGTCACCATCAGCTCTAGATCAAAACATAAACAATCAAAGATCTAGGTATCATCTTGATATCAGGCTACAAACTTGTTGATTCAACTTCGTTCCAGTGTACGTTTTTTATTCGTTGAGAACGCTAACCTTAACCCTGTCATCTAAGTTGTTTAGCTTCGTCTTCTACAAGGTTGAAGTATAAGGAATCTCAATGACGTAGCACTTGAAAAGAGATCATGACACTCCACTAGCTTCAGTCATACTTATAGATATTTATGAAGCACAGATTAATCCGATACAAGGAAGAATTGGAAGAAATAAGGCTAGAAAGATTGTTTTGCGCTAATCTCCTAAGTGGACAAGGCTTGCTTGGTTAAAAAAATCTTTGTTGAATGAGATATCATGAAACAATGCCGACGAGCCAATGTTTGTTCAGAAAGTAGCGAAAACAGAGATTTGTAACTTGATGTTGCAACGAAATGAGAAAATTTCGGCAGTGAAAGATATTTGGCGCCAAGAATCAAGTCAACGAGGCGTCATTAAATAAGAAAAAAACGCATGCGCAAATAAACTTCTCTTCAAAGACTTTCCTTAAGTGTTGTCCAAATAGTTGTAACTGTATCCAGTCTAATACATAAGCGCAGGCTCCCATAAACAAAGAATTTCACATAAACTCATTAGAAAACCGATAAATGCCAACATTGGAACGTATCTATGAAGTTGCTTGACTTTGTATCACTTTCGAGTTGTAGGTAGCCATAAATGTCTGTAATGTTAGTTAAATCTGGGTTGTCACGGTTTTTGATCTTGTGCCATACTTGGCTAATTTTACGAATTATTTAGGTTGTTTTGAAGTGTAGTAATGGATAACAAGTTAAACTTCTTCTTTTATGTGCCGTCTCACTTCAGGACGTGGGAGATCATAGCTCTTCACAACTTCCTTTTCTCCTTACTTCCACTTTCATTGCTTCTCCATCTATTTACACGGGCAGGCTATTCATTGATTCATTCAGTATGTCCTGTGAGTGTCAAATTCTCCAAGTTCTCTTTTCTCATTGTGTCCCAGAAATTTTAACTGTCTTATTCTGATTCTAAGTATTAAGTAACTTTTTGGTACACATATTACTTAAAATGTTTGTTGCTTGGTTGCTTACACGGTCCGTTCGTGGTATTATAAGAATTCTTCTGGTAGGACGACATCTGTGTTGTCTTGAGTGTCTTCTTCATCTGCGCAGAAATTGTCCACCGCTGAACGGGGATTGATATTACGTAGAAGTTCAGCACTCTTTATTTTTATAAAGAAATTTTACTGTCTTTTAAAAATCTATTCAGATTTTTGAGTGCTTTAGGGTTTTGCGTCAGAGTTTTCATCGACTTCTCAGATAGTTAAATACTTGATTAGATTCAGGCGTTTTTACACTGATGGAAGGAAAGATGGAATACACACACACACACACACATATATGTATATTAGGATATTAAAACAACGTGTACAAATCGCTACACAATTGCAGTCGTGTTTCAACGCATACCAATGCGTCTCCTCAGACAATTGTAAATTAAGTTGATTGAAGTAATTATTTCATAGCTTTCATCTTATGCTGTTTTTCGTGCTAATGATCTTAAATTCTGTGTCCTTTGATAGTCCTTTCTTGCATTTCTTTAATCATTAGTTCCAAAATTTTACGACATAATTTATGTTGGATTTTCATAATATATTATTAAAAACGTTATTATTCTGTCTATATCTCTGAGATCAGTTATTATGATTACTTGCATTAAGTACATTATTCGATCTATTATCCTCATTGCCACATTCACAACGCTTAGAACTGAACCCTGTGTAGATAATTCTAGTGCTACGTACCATGCCTCCCCTGGATGTCTCAGCTATTTACCTTTAACTCAACTTCCCAAGCTTTTTGAATCACCATTTCTGTCGCCTGGTATTGAACTCCCAACTATTAGTGTCTAGTCACTGGATCTAACCAATGTCTTTATCAACTGGGACATTTGTCTTTGAGGACATCTGTATATGAATTTTGGGGATTTATATTCCTAATGTCTTACCAACCTATGAAAAGCCGGTTTCTAATATATGAAAAGAGGAAGTTTTTTGGTCGTATTCTGCTGTGAGGTCTACATAGCAGGTATACAATTTTCTATTGGAAAGGTAAGCGATTTCTTGAAGTTGTTTGACGAAATATATGCACCTTTACCAGTGCGAAAACCAAACTGTGTCTTTGGTTGATTTTCATAGAACAGTGAAAACCTAGTCAAGACAATGTGTATTGGTACCTTTACCAATTGATATAATACCAAAATACACCCTTGTGCAAATTAATTGAAACAACTGCTTTAGTTTCCTTCCTTTCACCATACGGTCAAGTTTAGACCCACTGGAGTGACAGGGTGTAATCGATTTCTGCTTTTTCTTCAGATTAGGTCATTTGCAGTGGTGTGCAGTAATATGAATCTATTTTCGGAGTGTATGATGAAATTTGTTTGGCCTTGAAAAATATTACGTCATCTGTGATCGCACTAGATTTTTATCACGCCCAGACACTATTGTCTCGACTTTCGATTAGTTGTCCCACAGTAGTTGTCGGCGATGGACGTTACTCCAAGGAAACGTACGAAAATTGTAACGCTGCACAAACACACTGGCAAGTCTTAACAGTGATCAAATCAAAGTATTAGCCTGGCCCGGAAATTCTCCGGATTTAAATTCAGTCGAGGATGTGTGGTCAATCTGCAAGAAAAGAATTTGTGGAATG